GGGGGGGGGGGGGGGGGGGGGGTGAAACGAAAGGGGTCTTATTGTTCTCATTTGAACATTTTTTGAATATTGATTTTGTTCATCAGATTGATTGATTTTTTTTCTCATGACCTAGGGGTGTGAAATAATTTTTATAGGATGTTTTTTTTATTATTGAAATAATATTAAAATGCGTCTCGAGTTGGTAAACCTGTCGAGTGTTTTCTCTCTCTCAGTTCCATGGTCCAACCCATACCTGATGTTCACTGACATTCGAATCACGCACCTGCGCGTGAAGGCGTAAACGCCCCAAAACTCATAATTTTCCGAATCATTTGTTCAAATAACTTTTTTATGAAATCTAAAAAAAAACTGAAACTTATACGTGTTCTGTAGCAAGATTTGGTTTATCATCCACTAGTTTTTCCTAAATAGTTCATTATTTTTTTGGGTAACGTCGGAAGTTATAGCTGGAGGGGTTACAAAAACACCAAAATTTCATTATTTCTTTTCTCGAGGCTGAGAGTTGAAATAAATGTGCAAAAATTCTCAATAATGCAGCATACTCAGACATTTCTCCCACGAATTTTCGAAATTTCCTTCATTATTTTGACTTTTCACACGAAACATCTTAAGGAAGACTTCATTGCTGTTCGCCTCGACGTGGCTTCACAGGTGGTATGTCGCCAGTTCTTTTTTTCCTCAACTCTTTTTTTCGCATTAGTTTGCCTTTTTGTTACGCTCATGTGTGCCCGTCGGGGAATACGTAATTATCTGCGCGCGCAAATGTGAGTTGAACCGCGGTCGCGGGGACAAAGGCGAAATAACGGGGCGGAGGTGTGAAAGCATGTGAGCGTGATTTTTTTTTCCGTCCATCCTCGGTTATTTATCGAGTGGTGAGAATTGCCGAGTTAATGGAGAAAAATCATTGGGCAAAATAAGACGTAGAAACGAGAGATGGAGTGTTTGTCACTGATCAGTTGACACGCCATTTTAGAAACTCAATTTCAACTCTTCGCTTGATTTTCTTTTTTTATTCGCAGTCTTTCACTTGTCGCAGGGTCTAGTCGCTCCTTTTGAGCACAGATCTCATTACCTTCTTCCTGAGACTCATTTTTCACCTCGTATTTTCTCTCGATCATCCCTGTGACGTTACTCCCGTCACCCTCGCACACTGTCCTCTCGGAAAACTTTCATCTCATTATTATTCCCTTTAATCCTACTTATTACTTTTTCCTCATCGTCCACTCGCCGGGGGATTTCTCTTTCAAAACTCTTGACCCCTTCTCTTGATAAATTCACTCTTCCACTATATTTTTT